CAGTATTTTGGTTAAATACCGTACTATATTTGCTTTCCAGCATTAGACTACACTTTAAAAATGTTATGTTTTTAATACAACATACAAACACTGGCAAACAACGAGAGTAAAATAATCCTAACAAACAATTTTATCCATCTGAATTGCCTAACCTCTTAACCAAAAAGAGATCAAAATTAGAAGATGTATTTTTAAACTTCTAATTAAAAGTCTTCATCGAACCTGTGTAAAGTAAACCTTTTACTGAATTCACTGTAAGAAACAGACACAAGCTGACAAAGAAACCTAACGATTTTTTATACCCATTTTAATTTCTCCAGTTGAAAACATTAACCAAACAAAGTGGATCCTGTATTTCAAATACTCAATGCTACAATGCTTCTTCAATAATAGACTACAACTAATTCTTACAAAATTCTGAAATACTTACTCTTGATGTGTTGTGCAAATTTTAGTAAGCCGCTCAAAATCTTCACCATTAAATCTTTTTTCTGAATTCCTTAGAGACGGAACTGTATGTGGTTGTACAGCTTTCCATTTTGTTTCTAAATTTAAAGTATTTGTTAGTCACTGGCTCTTATAAAACATATTTAGGAAGAAAAAAATAGTTAACTGGTACTGTTGATAAAGATTAGATGCAAAATTATCTTCTCAAAAAATCACAAAGTTAACACAGTTAGAAATAGCTAAGTGATTACTTTTTATTATAAGTAAATATCATCCCAGAGACTAAGTTAGCCAGTATGGTGTGCAGTGTGATCAGAAGAAATGCAAATAGTTGTGTTTGTTCTTTTCCTGGCATTTATAGGAAGAACAAAATACAAAGAAAAATTTTTCTCACAATGTAATAAACTTGTGGCAAAAATGCTACATTCTTTGCAACATTAACTGGACTGTGGAAACTTCTATTTTCTGCCCTACAAAACCAGGTCAAATATGTTAACTTTCTAAATAGAAATCTGTTATATTACTGATAATTCCTTATTCGATGTTAGTCTGTACTCACCCCACTGTTCTTGAATAGCAGAAAGATTTGCAAGCAATTGTTCATGATACAACCGTTCGAGCTGAATGAATTTCATTGCTTTCTCATCTGAATAGAAAATTTGAGGAAAATAGAAATCCAGACTATTCACAGTAAACCCCATATTTGAAAAGGAATGTCCTATAGAAGTTGAGAAATTTGCAGCTGACCAGAAAATTAGAGAACTCATTATTTTTAAATTTAAACACATCTAAAGTCATGTTTCTTGGTTTTGAAGCAGGTAAATTTTATCATAACATACTACGCAGTAGCTACTTGGGTTTCATACTATCAGCAAACAGCAGAAACCAAAAAAGGGTTTTAATGCTCAAGGAATGCCTGCTTGCTAATATATTTCTAACAGAGTTGATCAAAAGTAACTTAATTGGAAATAGGACCTGCATGGAATCCTGGAGTCTATATGTTTTCCTTTTTTATTTCTCTCCTTAAATTATTTTTTGTCCTCTAGTGAAGTATTTGTTTCTGGTTTCAACTCATCTTGACCCTTTACTTCTTTACCACTGAATGCTTTTTCTAAGACCAAAGGATCACATGCCTAAACTATGACAAAGCAAAAAATTCTATGGATCTTTTGTAAAAAATTTAATTAACTTGCCCCAGTGATTTTCATAATTATCATGTCATTTCACTTTTTTGTAGATCTTCTGGTGAACTTTTGCCTCCTCATCTGTATTTTACTTGTTTTTTACATCTTATATGGTTAAGAAACATTGCCCAAATTCTGACCTTCCCTTGGGCAATGTTCTAAATGTTGACCCAGAAAGAAGGGACAGAAAAACTCACTGTTAAGCTTTTCGTCCTCCCTATGGTCACTCAGAGGTTAAGGGGATAAGCATTTACCGTCCTGAACCCTGGTGAAGAAGCTGCAATGATTCCTTTTTCCTCTGCCCACGACTTAAAGTACAGCAGTGTTTCCCAAACTTTATTGAACATAAAAAAACCTGAAAAACTTGTTAAAATCCAGATTCATGGGTCTGATCCTGAGAAGTTCTGATTCTGAGGCCCATGAACTTGCATT